ATGCTCTAGGGAGAATCTTAAGAAACGCAATGTAGTTATGGAAAGTCATCCACTGGAAGACAGATGCGAGACAGATCGCAGAACCACAGAAAAAGAATTGGAACAAAGAACTTCCGCTGTTGACAATTCAAGACTAAGACTGACCAAGATCAGGTACAAGTTCTTGAACAAATAACTGTTCTTCTACAAGTCTACAGCTTTACCCTTCCCTACTATGTTTGGATCTAACAAATAATAATGAAGCCTCCAAGATAAGAAAGATCTCATAATTAGGGTCAGGCTCAAAGGATTCTGACATTATATATTCATTTCATTTAAACATCTGCACTACAATCAGTAAACTTACGAGAGTCATTAATTACAAGGGAAAATTTTTATCTTTAGAGCACAGAAAGATGTCAGACACCTCAACCAAGAGATCAAAAGTTAACATTCACCAGCGATAAGACCTATCTACATCACACATGTGCCAATATGATGCACTGAGAAGGGAACAACCTCACCACTGTGGTATTCTTGTCACAAATGCTTAACCCTCAATTTAATCATGAAAGAACACCAGATAAATCCAAACTGAGGGACATTCTGCAAAATAACTGACCAGTACTCTTGAAAAGTACCAAGGTCATGAAAGATAAAAAACTGTCACAAATTGGAAGAGACCAAGGAGACACCATAACTAAATGCAGTGTGGGCTACTGGACTGGATCCTCGACCAGAAAAAAGACATCGGGGTGAAACCTGAATAAAAACTTTAGATTAATTGTATCAACTGCCTGGTTTCAATAACCGCACTATGGTTACATAAGATGCTAACAAAGGGACACTGGTTCTAAGGTATATTGGAATTCTCTGGGCTATTTTTGCAGTTTTTTTGTACTTCTAAAATTATTTCAAAGTAAAAAGTTTGTAAAAATAATTTCAGATGAATGATAAAAAGATATGGGGGATCACTCAATAACTCTTACATAAAAATATGCCGCCTCCTTGGGGCTGGCCCTGTGGCCGAGTGGTTAAGTTCGTGCGCTCCACTGCAGGCGGCCCAGTGTTTCGTTGGTTCGAATCCTGGGTGCAGACATGGCACCCCTCATCAAACCAAGCTGAGGTGGTGTCCCACATGCCACAACTAGAAGGACCTACAACGAAGAATCTTCAACTATGTACTGGGGGGCTTTGGGGAGAAAAAGGGAAAAAAAAATATGCTACCTCCTCCAATAATTGTGCTTAAAAAAACCCAATAATTGCAAATAAGGCGTAAACCAGAATAATCTGTAATTATTCAATAAAAACCTGTGATTGGGATAATCTAGAGAGCCAGAGTAACTTTCCTGGGGCACTGAAGTCTCTCCAGATAAATAATCTACCTCATTTTCCCTATTAATCTTTTTTAATTCAATTCATATATTTAACATCTACTATGGGCATGTAACTGTGCTGGGGCCTGATAAGATTTTGATACATTAAGAACATTTTAGTACACAAAATAAGAAAGAAAAACATAGAGTAACAAAACTGGAAGTAACTTTTCACTCCTATACAATCTAGCAATCAAGACCTCACCCTTTTTAGTGTGACTGTTGCTAAGAGCTCAAGTGTATCCCCTTCAGCATAAGCGGTTCTGACCTCTACAATTATCTCTAAAAATTATCCCTGAAAATGCCAAAATGACTCTAAAAAATACTCCATTTCTAGTACTTTTTTCCATCTAATCATTATGTTGTTGGTGCATTACAGTACACAACACAAAATTAAAGAACTTGATTCTCCGAGTATCAAGGAAAGGTCAAGCTGGTATAAACCCATAGACATTTACTTACTATCCTCTTATAAGAGGTCAAAGGCAACATCACATAAGGCCAGGGTTCTCAAAGTGTGCCCTCAGAGTCAGCAGCTTTAACATCACCCAGGAACTTGTCAGAAATGCAAATTCTCAGTCCCAGTCCAGACCCGCTGTTTCAGAGACCCAGCCCAGCATCTGCATTTTCACAAGCCCCCCAGCTGACTCTGATGCACCATCAGTTTGAGAACCACTGATGGAACAGCAGAAAGACTGGCCCCGTGAATCTGGAGGCCTGATTCCAATCCTTGCTCTGCCACTAACCTCTACAATGCATTAGCCACTCAGCTTCTCTGGGGCTCAGCCTCCTGATCAGTGAGGGAACTGGAATAGCTCACTACCACAGTCCTTACACCCTAATTTGATAACCATGAAAGCATTCATTTGTATAAGGCCTAAAAGTGAAAACACCACTGCAGCATTTCACCACATATTTCTCTCTCTCATCAAAATGAAACAATTAAAATTTCTTCTTTTCATCCACCAGCCTCTGAATCAGATTTAACATATCCAAAATAATTTCTTCTGATTTTAAATAAAATTGTGTTTACTACTTTGCTGTATCAAAAGCCATATAAATGCTAATTTTACAGTTTCCTATTTAGTTCTATATCAAGCCTATTTTGGAGGAATTCCTCATAATAACAAAAATTCCAAGAAACCCCCCTACTACAGACAGAATTGTGCACCCCGCCCCCCCCCGCCCACACACACACACACACACAATTTTTATGCCGAAGCCCTAATCACCAATGTGATGGTATTTGGAAATGAGGTCTTTGAGAGCTCATTAGGTTTAGATGAGGTCAGAATGGTAGGGTCTCCAAGACGGATCAGCGTCTTTAGAAGAAGAGGAAGAGAGACCAGAGTTCTCTCTCCATCTCTGCCACGTGAAGACACAGCAAGAAGGTGGCTGTCTGTAAGCAAGGAAGAGCCTCACCAGGTATCAGCACCTTGATCTTGGACTTAACCTCCAGAACTGGGAGAAGTAAATGACTGTTGTTTCAGCCACCTGGGGTTATGGCGTTTTCCTAGAGCAGCCCACAATGACCAACACACTCACTCAAAATACCCCTCTGCTGTGGGCATTGTTCAGAAGAACTGTGCTCCATCCTCGCATAAACAATGTGTGTGATCAGACCACTAACTATGAAAGAGAAAGAATTTTAAAATGTACAGATCTAGATACTTCCATTACTAAGAAACACAGCTTAATTTCATGTCCTATTCATGGATTTATAAACCGGGATTCTTCTCACAACCTGTGGAAACTATGACAAAAACCTCTCAGAGGAGATGTGAGAAAGAGGGAGAGAGGAGAATCAAATAAGAAGAGTCCGTTTTATAAAGGTTAGAGAGTTCTCTTCTAATAACACAAACCTAGTTAGAATGAATGTTGGCAGAAATGTCCCATCAATCAAGTGAATACCCACTAATCCTTGAGACCTAACTCAAATGCTGTATCCCGCAAGCTCGCGCCACTCCTTCCCAGGCAGTCAGACATAATTTACTCTGTGCTCCCCTTTCTCCATTTCAGCACTGAGCAAAAGGCACTATATTTGTTTATGGATCTGTCTCTTCCACCAGACTTTGAAATCATCTAGGGCAGCGTGTTACTCTCTCCAGCACCTAGAATGGTGACTGGCATGAAGCAGTTTGATGAAGTGGAGCCACTTTGCTTTGCTGAATGGAAGTGGAACTCTCTGTGCTATCTCACAGCTTTTCTGTAAATCTGAAATTATTCCAAAATAAACAGGTTTTTTTAAAAAGGCACCAGGAGCCACTGTATTATCAGTAATAATCACACCTGCCTTACATGTCAGGCAAGAAGACACCAGCTACGAGAGCCTTGCCTCACTGTTTTGCAGACGTGCCAGCAGGAGTTAGTAACCTTACATGTAGCAAACTTGAAAAACAATGAGTAACAAACACTTGAGATTTTAATCCTGACCTTAACTTTGGTCAAATTGTTTAACCTTAGTCTCAGTTTGTGAAAAGGGAATAGTAATTCCGACCCTACAAGGCTGCCGTGCTACATGAAGTATACAGAGTATATATCAAATGAGCTCTCCTAACGATGTTCTAATCAATACGTGTTAGCGACCTTCCCCAGGCAGTGCTGCAACTGGACTAACGCTTCACCGCAAACCAGGTGCATACTGTAACTAGTTCCACTGGCACGGACTGTAAAGTTCTAACTCAATCACCATTCGGGCTATGATTACCTATAAAATAATCCTACATATGTGTCCGTAGATGCCAACCCTGCCAAGATGTCCTAGTCCAGAACTCCCCAACGAAATACACAGGCTATTCAAAACTCAACGCAACCGACAGGGGTCAGCAGCTCCTGGCACCCATCTCCCCCGGACTAAGCTCCAGAAAGCGGGCACGCACACTCAGGCCGTGCTCGCCGACTAGGAAGAGGTGGGTATCTCCAGTGACGATCCCGCTGCTGCCAACAGCGGCGTGCGGCAGCCTGGGGTCTCCCGCTAGTTGCTGAGAGCACCTGGACCCTGAGTGGCCAAGACCGTCCACTTCCAGGCGTGGTGCTCTCGGGCACCAGCATCCTCAACCGAAGGAGGCGCGGGTGGCAGCAGCGCATCGGTGCGCTGGGGAAAACAGGGAGTGGGCGGGCGGCCACGGACACCACCGCCCGGACTATAAACCGACACCGGGCAGCTCCCCGCCTGGGCGCGTGCGTTTCAGCCGGAGAAGCCGGGCGGTCGGAAGCACCCCGACTGCGTGCAGGGGTGCGTGGGGAGCCCGGGGCGCCGCTCCCGCGCTGACAGGCCGGGCCCACGGGGAAACGGAGGCCCGCCGGGTCCCCGGGAGCCCGGCTTGCGGAGCGAGCAGGTGAGGGCGGGGGCGGGGGCAGGGCGGCGGCGACGCCGCGCGGGCGGCGGGCGGGTGTCGGGCGAGTCTGGGCGGCGTCGGGAGGGACCGGCGAGCGGGGAGGGGCGGAGGCGGGGGGAGGGGGGAGGAGGAAGAGCGAAGGGTCCTGGCGGGGCTCCCGGCGCCCAGCCGCCCGGGCCCGAGCCCTCAAGCCACCGCCCCCAGGCCCCGCGCAGACGC